TCATCTGCACATGTGTGAGAGACAGCCACTGGTCCCCCAGTGAACCACTACTGACCTGGGAGAGTATAAGGTGTAAGGTTCATGTCTCAGTGAACCACAATTGGGTACACGGTGCCTTCAACCACTCGACCATCAGTGACCGTACAAAAAGTGGTGATAGCCAAGGCAATTTGAACCTATGGTCGAAGGCTATGTGAATAAGCTTTTTCGCATCTGCATTGCTCACGTGGCCCCACAAAAATGAGGTGATTTGATGAAAAGCTATGCCCAGGATTACCATCAAAGTGCCGTCGGGGTGGTGGTTCAAATAGCCTCGGCTATCACCACTTTTTGTACGGTCACTGATGGTCGAGTGGTTTAAGGCACCGTGTACACCAGTTGCAATGTGCTCCTGGCGGTCCGGGTTCGAGTCACTTCTGGGGTGTGGAGTTTTCATATATATATATATATATATATATATATATATATATATATATATATATATATATATATATATATATATATATATATATATATATATATATATATATATATACATACACATTTACATTTCACCTTTGTAAATGCACATTAATGACACTATGTAAAAGACACATCGAACACTTATGTAAATACACATATATACGTATGTAGTTTAGCTTACCATTTTAAAAACACTACAATCACCTTCTGTTGTTGATTGTTCAATAAATCCCTGAATTATATGTTTAACACATCTCTAACCCTGTCCATGGAGGACAGGAGAAAATGTATATATGCTGGTTAGCATTGTAAATGTGTGGCCACGTCTGTGGTAGAAAATAATAATAATAAAAAAAAGTGACCATCATAGTCCATTTGATCAGGAAGGGAAGGGAACTATCAGGAGAGAAGGCTAAACCATTACGACTATATAACATTTGATCAGGAATCAAAGATTAATACAAAGAGCGATTTGTGGAAATCCTGAAATCCTTTCCGTGGTCCTTAAATCCTTTCCGTGGTCAGGCAATGGAGCAAATACTTGGAAGGTAGACAGTGTCTACTACGCATACCTGTGGATGACTTGGAGTATATATCTACTCCTCGCATCATATCGTGTAATGTATATGCCTTATAGAAGTCTTAACTATATAACTGCTATATTTTCAGTCAATGTACATGATTTGTAAGAGATTGGTTAAAAGTTCCGCCTTTCATTTCTCCCGCAAATTGGGTCATTTAGTTATTTTTGAGGGCACATTCCCGGGAAGGTGGAATGTCGGGAGTCGAACGAGTACTCCACACTCCCCTGGAATTTTTTCCAGAGGGAGCGTGTTCCAGGGGGAGCGTGTTCCAGGGGGAGCGTGTTCCAGGGGGAGCGTGTTCCAGGGGGAGCGTGTTCCAGGGGGAGCGTGTTCCAGGGAGAGCGTGTTCCAGGGGGAGCGTGTTCCAGGGGGAGCGTGTTCCAGGGGGAGCGTATTCCACGAGAGCGTGTTCCAGGGGGAGCGTGTTCCAGGGGGAGCATGTTCCAGGGGGAGTGTGTTCCAGGAGAGCATGTTCCAGAGGGAGCGTGTTCCAGGGAAGCATGTTCCAGGGAAGCGTGTTCCAGGGGGAGTGTTTTCCAGGGGGAGTGTGTTCCAGGGGGAGCGTGTTCCAGGGGGAGCGTGTTCCAGGGGAAGCGTGTTCCAGGGGTGCGTGTTCCAGGGGGAGCGTGTTCCAGGGGTGCGTGTTCCAGGAGGAGCGTGTTCCAAGAGAGCGTGATCCAGAGGAGCGTGTTCCAGGGGAAGCGTGTTCCAGGGGCAGCGAGCTGTACACGTCCGACTCCCGTATACAACGTCCACTATCGCCGCCCGAGTCATGAAAACAGCCATAAAGGCGCCGACAATCACCTCGTTCCCCTGGGTAAACCAGGACGCTGGATAAGATAATCTCACAACACAATTAGCTGCCGCTGCTCACGGGACAGCGCGCCCCGAGGTGTCCTCACCTGGAGGCCCCAGCTTACCCTGCTCGGGTCAATTACTAATGTGTTAGTAAATGCAATACAGCGCCGGAATTTTAACGGTCGCGTCTATAGCGTCAAAATCCCGGTGTATTGGCGTCCGTTCAACGTCCCAATAGGTATTTAATTCCCAGAATTTGTTAGCTTCGTTAAACTTCCGGTATTCAGCCTACGCTTCGTTATTCCCTGACAACGAGATTAATGACCTCGTTATTGCGAGGCCAGAAACACTACTACAAGCATATTCTTCAAGAATAATTACATTCAATACACATTTGAATATGTCAGCTTGTCTCTAACGGCATACCTTACCTTGGTGAGGTTCTGAGAGAGATTCTTCCCAAGCCCGGCCCGAAGCCAAGCTTGACTTGTGAGAGCTTGGTCCACCAGGCTGTTGCTTAAGTACCTAACCACCTGGAATTTATCACTGTTCAGCACAATAACCTCTTGACAGACGTCTTAAGTCAGTCTTACCTACATATACAGCGAGAAAAGTTCGAGTACTGGCTAAGGAGGATTGACTGGGCGCCAATCCTTAAATACTCGCCTCTGTTCATCCAGCAGTAACTGCATGCCTGGTTATTAACCAATTGGCTGGTCGTGTGCCAGGGGGACCTCCAGTAGGCATATGGCTTCCCAAGACCTATAGGGAGAGCAATCACTCTCCTTCAGAGGAGAAGAGTAGATACATACACTCTCACTCAGAGGAGAAGGGTAGATACATACACTCTCCCTCAGAGGAGAAGGGTAGATACATACACTCTCCCTCAGAGGAGAAGGGTAGATACATACACTCTACCTCAGAGGAGAAGGGTAGATAAAATCACTCCAGCTCGCCTGCTATTAAACTCGAGCCATAAAACTGCCAACTATGTCTACTTAAACAATTATCTTGCAGCTGAAAACTGCCAAAGCCCTAATTGGCATTTTGCTTTTTCTTTAAGACTCTTAATTCTTCTCTGTTCCAAATGAGTCTATTTAGTCTTAGTTTTAATGAGAAATTTTCTTTGCAAAGGACGAAGGTGAAACGGGTTTGTAGTTGGCTTCGTGTGTATGTATGATGGGTGTGTATGATATATGTATGATGTATATATGTAGGCTACTAAAGTTGGTATTGAGCTCGTTCTGTACCAATCTTGAAGTGCTATTGTCTAACGAGAAGCGTATCAAACGCGACGCATTGATCTCTAGAAGCGATCAATTTTTGCCATTCATCAAATATTATTTAAACGCCGGAAATTTGTCGATGCGATGGCAGGTTGGATGAAACGAATAAGAAACACTACTTTTTAACATGTTAGAAAACAAGAAGCACGACTCTTAAACATATCAGGAAACAAAAAACATGACTTTTTAACATGACAGATAACAAGAAACATGACTTAACATGTTAGGGAACAAGCCATGAGTTCATCAAGGCAGCCATCGTCTTCACAACACAGAAACAATCGAGGGGGCTCTGAGGCGGGTGAGAGTGCTGCTCCTGTTCCTGCTGCTGCTGCTGCTGGTGCTGCTCCTGTTCCTGCTGCTGCTGCTGCTACTGCTGGTGCTGCTCCTGTTCCTGCTACAGTGATCACCAGCAATAATGAATGAACTGAGGCCGCCAGAGTCTTCAGAGGGGGAGGGAGGTGGAACAGCCCTAGATACACGTATCTGGTACCCAGTAACCAGTACTTGAGTAAACCCAGCCCCAGGTACTCAAGTTACATAGTCTCTATGCTGACTCTACTCTTCAGAGGAGTAGCAGAGGTCTAGGCCTCCTCCTTCGACAGTAGCACTCTGGGACCATGTGGTTTGGGGTGGGGGGGGGGGGGGACTCACTGTGAGTGAAAGTGAGTGACAGATTCGACTTTCACTCACAATGAGTCTAACCTGTGTCCATTCCTTCTCTCTCTCTCTCTCCCTCTCCCTCTTTCTCTCTCTTTCTCTCTCTCTCTCCCTCTCCCTCTCTCTCTCTCTTTCTCTCTCCCTCTCTTGTTCCACAGCTTCTATACTCTTACCTTCGTGTCTCTTGCTGAGCTCTACACATTTCTTACCTCTTATTCGCTCTCCCCTTCCCTAACTCTCCCCTCCCCTCGCTCTCCCCTCCTCCTCCTTCTCAGCGACCAGTCACAATTATTGAGCACCTTCCGCCCTGTGCACCGTCGCACCAACACACCTAAAAACTTATTCTTTTGAAAGTGTCCACGCGTTCCTGACTGCCGCCTCGGGCAGAGAGAGAGAGAGAGAGAGAGAGAGAGAGAGAGAGAGAGAGAGAGAGAGAGAGAGAGAGAGAGAGAGAGAGAGAGAGAGAGAGAGAGAGAGAGAGAGAGAGAGAGAGAGAGAGAGAGAGAGTGTGTAGAGGGTGGAAAGGTAAGGCTAAGAAATACACAAACCAATTTTAGCTTCCTTGTATAACCTAAAATAGGTAAAAACCTATTTGAACCATAAACTAACTGCCAACAAACTAGTCACGATATGGGTTGAAACGGGTAAGAAACATGATTTAAAGTCATGTTTTAATACTCGACTATTAAACGTCGAGTGCTTCGACCCAGGAGCTGAAGACCAGCCTGCAACACCACAGACAGGTGAGAACCCCCACAAATACTCCAACATAAGCGTACAATTCCAGTCGACTCAGAATATTCATCATTCAACTCATATACTCATCCATCAACTCATTCTAGTTTGCTTAATCATCACTCTCGCGTCATCAACAACACGAAACAAATCAAATTTATATAACAAATTTATAATTTATATAATTTATATAAAAATAAAAATAAAAACATGTTGATGGCATCACAGAGCATTGTGCTGTGAGGCAGAGATGAGGGAGAACATCCCATCGTCTCCCTTAATACGTCTCATTTTAGCCGGAATGGACAGATCCTTAATATTGACGTCTGCATCAACCTCATTAGACTAGGTGGATTGCTTCCAGTCTTACATTTCCTAGTTTTACCTAACTAATATTTTCTCACTCTTCTGAGTAAGCAAAACCGTTCCATTCTTGTAAACGGAGTGGCAAATCGAGAGAGAGAATACCTGTTTGATGGGGTTCTGGGAGGTCTTCTACTTCCCCAAGATCCCCAAGACTCCCCAAGACTCCCCAAGACTCCCCAAGATCCCCAAGACTCCCCAAGACTCCCCAAGACTCCCCAAGACTCCCCAAGACTCCCCAAGACTCCCCAAGACTCCCCAAGACTCCCCAAGACTCCCCAAGACTCCCCGAGATCCCCAAGACTCTCCAAGACTCCCCAAGATCCCCAAGACTCCCCAAGATCCCCAAGACTCCCCAAGACTCCCCAAGACTCCCCAAGATCCCCAAGACTCCCCAAGACTCCCCAAGATCCCCAAGACTCCCCAAGATCCCCAAGACTCCCCAAGACTTCCCAAGATCCTCAAGACTTCCCCAAGATCCTCAAGACTTCCCAAGATCCTCAAGACTCCCCAAGATCCTCAAGATTCCCCAAGACTCCCCAAGATCCGAAGGCTCCCCAAGATCCCCAAGACTTCCCAAGATCCTCAAGACTTCCCCAAGATCCTCAAGGCTCCCCAAGATCCCCAAGACTCCCCAAGACCCCCAAGAATAGGATCACAAAAACACACTACCCTTTTCCTATGCACCACGTAGGTGTATTTCCATCATGGTGTAGCCCCAGAGGTGCCAACACCTCCCTCACCAGCAGGAGCGCGGCGCTGGCCTGGAATACAAAGCCAAGAAGGGCGCGGTGGCGACGGCTGGCTTCCAAAACTAAACTCTAAGCCACACCGGACTTCGCGAAACAGCGCCAAATGCACACAACTTATCCTTTCAGAATTCGCGATGGCTACAGGAAAATATATATAAAATGAGGCGTTGGTGTTACCCCGGCTCAGGTTCAACCTTCCAACCGCTTCTGGCACGTGCTCCAGTGCCAATAAAATTAACTTTAATGGTCGAGTTGGGATTTGGACGCTTATGGGTGATCGCTATTCAGTCTCCTGTTATCAGTCTGGGCAAGTAAACGATGTGTGTATTTATAATATAACCTGGCGTGGGGGATCCAGTGGATTTGTCGAGTTGTGGTGTGTGATTGTTTTGGAGGGTTGTAAAGTGGATTATACCCAGCTGTGACGGGAGGCAGAAGTCACCCAGCTGTGACGGGAGGCAGAAGTCACCCAGCTGTGAGGTGAGGCAGGAGTCACCCAGCTGTGACGTGAGGCAGGAGAGTGTCACCCAGCTGTGAGGTGAGGCAGGGGAGTGTCACCCAGCTGTGAGGTGAGGCAGGAGTGTCTCACCCAGCTGTGAGGTGAGGCAGGGGAGTGTCACCCAGCTGTGACGGGAGGCAGGAGTGTGTCACCCAACTATGGGTAAAACAGGAGCTTCGACTCAATTCGTGTCGGACATAACCAGCCGTTTAAACCCTTAACAAACATCGACTAGAACTACTGTCAATCAACAGGCACTAGCAGTAGTTTCCCCCCCCCACCCCCACCCCCCACAAACACCACGCGCGTGCGAGCGCACCCACCTACACACACACACACACACACGCACGCACGCAAACCAACCACATACCTCACCATTAACCAGTCTACAATATACAACACATTGCACAATCCGTCTTCAACTTGCAACATTCACACTCACATCAAACCAACGCAGCCAAAAAATGACGCAACAAATCCTATAAAGCATTACTCTCAACAGGACCACCATAGTGCATGTTAGATTATGCAATTAAACGAAATGTAGCTCATGACAATCTCTCACCGGGATACAATTAAACAGGATTTTAAAATAAAATCTGCAATTCATGATGAATTCAGCGTATTGGTGGCGGGCGATGAACCACCACCGGATGTTCTCTGGCGCAAATAGTGAATAATATTATGGATATCAACATCCCTATTTATATTTACGCGTCCCATTTACTGTGTCGTGGGACGGGTAGATTGGCAGGTCCCTCCCGGAGGCCTGATGGCTGCCAGATACCCTGTGTGTACCGGTGTCTGGGTGTACCGGTGACTGGGTGTACCGGTGACTGGGTGTACCGGTGACTGGGTGTACCGGTGACTGGGTGTACCGGTGACTGGGTGTACCGGTGACTGGGTGTACTGGTGACTATGTGTACCGGTGACTGGGTGTACCGGTGACTGGGTGTACCGGTGACTGGGTGTACCGGTGACTGGGTGTACCGGTGACTGGGTGTGCCGGTGACTGGGTGTACTGGTGACTGTGTGTACCGGTAACCCAGCATGCAGGAGCGCCACTGTTCAACGTACCAACGGGCGCCAACAGGGAACACGCACGGTACCTTCGTTGTGGTAAACATTTAAATGGTTATTAACCTCAATGAACAACACCCGAGTGTCGATAAAGTCAACCATGTGTCCGTACACTCTCACAGAACACACTTTGTTGACCATACTAAACACACTTTGGTTACATTCCCTTGTTGGCTTGTTGAAGGCAAGGGAATGTAACCCTTACATTCCCTTGTTGGCTTGTTGAAGGCAAGGGAATGTAACCCTTACATTCCCTTGTTGGCTTGTTGAAGGCAAGGGAATGTAACCCTTACATTCCCTTGTTGGCTTGTTGAAGGCAAGGGAATGTAACCCTTACATTCCCTTGTTGGCTTGTTGAAGGCAAGGGAATGTAACCCTTACATTCCCTTGTTGGCTTGTTGAACGCAAGGGAATGTAACCCTTACATTCCCTTGTTGGCTTGTTGAAGGCAAGGGAATGTAACCCTTACATTCCCTTGTTGGCTTGTTGAAGGCAAGGGAATGTAACCCTTACATTCCAGGCATAGTCATAAGAACATAACATAAGACCAAAGGTAACTGCAGAAGGCCGATTGGCCCATACGAGGCAGCTCCTATCTATAACCACCCAATCCCCTTATCAGTCTTATCAGAACAAGTGACTGTTAACTGAAATAACCTGAGCAGGATCAACGGGGGGGGACAGTTACCTGTTATTCTTGACACCTGCCAATCAAACAGACTCGTGTGTCGTCCCACAGGTGAGATCTTCAGGTATCCTTCGTGTCTTAGAGACCGGGGTAATAATTACCCAGGTGAATGGTGTGTATATATATATATATATATATATATATATATATATATATATATATATATATATATATATATATATATATATATATATATATATATATTGGTCGATATATAAATATACTCCTTGTAAATCACAGTATACAAATTACTGTATTCAAGCTACATTTAGCAGTACAAGTCCTATTAATTACATTTTATGGCGTGTGATTTACCAACGTAAGTGCCACTGCTCTTAATTGCTGGGTATAATTATTTGATATGGCCAAGCACCTGTGAATTGTAATTTATATTAATCTCTTACGAATGAAATCAATCAAGACGTGATACATGAAGCATCTGAAGCACCAAGTAGCTAGCCGAAGGAACAAAGGAGCTTGTCTTAACTTTGAAGTATTAAGAAAGTATAAGTGTTGACAGTGTAACCGGTGTGAGTGCTGGGCTCTCAAGTGCTTAGAAGTGTAAGCGTTCATAAGTGTGTCGCCTCGTAAGAGCGCGCTTCATCAATAACAAACATTAAACAGGTATATACGTCTGATATACTGCTCACACGTCACTAGTAAATCAGGGTAATGAGGAGTATATCATACACAGGGTTCAGGGCGTCATGTGCTCACTGTGTGTACCTTTGATGAGTAGGGCGGCGTTATGTTACGGGTTATTCATGCCCATGCCACATCTTGGGTGGCTTAATCTTCATTAATCGGGTTGTAACTCTTGCCAGCTGGCCTTAGTCCATGGGCCAAGTGATGGGGCCAGGTGGGCCACACCAGTGGCTGGCCCAGGTGGGCCATACTACCAGTGACGGTGTCACAGTACACATTCCTGGTGTCACGTGGGGAGCATAAACCACCAATGGAAGATCATTAATCACAGTCATATTTAATAGTGTCACGGGAGGAGGGAGGAGAGTATAGAGCCACATTGCTTCATTCAATATGACACTCCCGTTAACTGGCTGTCAGGCATGACATGTCATTCTCTACCATTGGTATATTAAAAGTTGTTTACCATCGATGATTTAAGTTTCTAGAGCAATTTACTCTTTATTGTGTGTGTGTGTGTGTGTGTGTGTGTGTGTGTGTGTGTGTGTGTGTGTGTGTGTGTGTGTGTGTGTGTGTGTGTGTGTGTGTGTGTGTGTGTGTGAGTACTCTCCTATATGTACTCACTCAGATGTGCGTGTAGGGTCGAACTAAGCTCCTAGCCTCGCCTTCTGAACGTTCATATATTAATGTGATAACTCATTTCTCACGCTTTTATCATATTAACATTTAACAATTTTGAATCAAATTAGCTTCAACGAATTCTGGGTACAACCAGTTGCACTTACTGACAGCTCCGACACTGGAGAAGTTATAATGACTGAACCACACACAAGATGGAGAAACGACGACGTTTCGGTCTGTTTTGGACCATTATCAACTCGTGTGTGAATCTCACACGCACACGACTTGATAACGGTCCAAGACGGACCGAAACGTCGCGGTCTCTCCATCTTGTGATGTGTGGTTTGGTCATTATAACTTCAGCCACGTTATTGTACCTCATCGTCTGCACTGAAAAAGTTATCTCTGACGTCTCTGTGGCTCATTTGCATCACTAGTTTCCATCTACGGCGTCTCGTTCTGCTGTTCCTCGCTTTGAACAACGCTGCTTTGTCTATCTTGTCAATTTGCCTTTTAATCTTATATATTGTTATCATGTCTCCCCCTATTTCTCCTTTCCTCTAGTGTGGTAAGGTCTAGCTCTTTCAGTCGTTCCTCAGAGCTCAATCCCTCCAGCTCAAGAACGAGTCTCGTTGCATCTCTTTTGACCTTTTCTAGTTCTAGGGGAAACTATGTGGAGATAAGAAAATTCCTAACAGATATAACATGGGAAACAGAGCTCAGGGGAAAGACGGCCCAAGACATGATGGAACACATCACGCAGAAGTGTAAGGAAGCAGGAGACAAGTTTATCCCGGTCCAAAAGGGAAAAAATCAAATGCAGATGAGAAACCCATGTTTTTTTTTCATATATATACAAGAGTTGTTACATTCTTGTAGAGCCACTAGTACGCGTAGAGTTTCGGGCAGGTCCCTGGAATACGATCCCCGCCGCGAAGAATCGTTGTTACAACCAAGTACACATTTTACTGTTGAGTTAAACAGACGCTACAGTTAAGGATTTGCGCCCAGTAAATCCTCCCCGGCCAGGATACGAACCCAGGACAATGCGCTCGCGGAACGCCAGGCGAGTGTCTTACCACTACACCACGGAGACTGTAAATCTTTTTCCTACCTGAGTAAGACTCAGTTTAATCTGAGATGTAAGTTAGCAAAGCAACAAAGTAAAAGGGCGTGGAGAAACTATAGGAATAACAGGACACTTGAGAGCAGAGAAAGATACCAGAATGCCAGGAATGAATATGTCAGGTTGAGAAGAGAGGCAGAAGGGGGGAGGTAAGGAAGCTTTTGCTAGAGTTGGATGTGACAAAGGCTATAGGCCCAGATGGAATTTCACCATGGATACTAAAGGAAGGAGCAGAAGCACTGTGCCTGCCACTCTCCATGGTGTATAACAAATCACTGGTAAC